GTGTGTGTGTGTGTAAAAAATTTTGTAAGTAAAAAATGACTGAAAAACAAAAATCTATAGCTTACTTTTGCCAAGAACCAATGTGTTTAAACATTTTTTTACAATATATTATATATTTACTTTTTAATAAAATATTTAAAAATCATGTTTTATTTAAATCTCTAAATAATTATACTCAAGAGATTTATTCCTCTTTATAGGAAGCGATATATATATAGTAGACGAAGTAAGATGTCTAGAATCGTATAGGTAAATATGACACGCTTAAATCTGGGCTTAGAAAATTGAACAGATAAAATAATTTTAACATCCCCTTTGCCCGCTGTGCCTCATATGCACGAAGGGAAGTCTCTGTCTCTTCGAACTATGTATATAGAGCGCTACTTTAGCAGTGTTCCAATTAACGCTCACAATACTTGTGACATCATTTTATCCTTGTTGTTTATATATAAATATTAAAGAGGAACAAATGATGCTCGCGAGTATTGTGAGCGTCAAATGGAATACACTCTTTGCAATTCAAAAAGAAAATAGTAACAAACCTTCAATATATCAATAGAAACTTTTGTGGAAATTAATATTGATGACTACGAAAAAACTTATAATAAAAAATACGTAGATGTGTTATAATTTTAATGTACATGTAATACAATTATAATTTCTGAAAATTACTTATAAATAAAACACCAATCTATGTAATCACACACACATATTTTCAGAAAAAAGACAAGCAATAATAACAAAGAAAAAATAGGACAATTACATATCTTAGCTATCATTGCAATATGCATGATCGCGGTTTCAAGAGGAAGTAGACAGAAAAATTCGTATTTTGATCTATTTTTTACGATATATTTTTGCAATAAGATTGCATGATTTGTACAATTGTGCCTACATAATCATAGTCTATAATATTATTATATAATTTAATTAATCAATAGTTGGAAATTTAAAAGGTTTTATCCAGCAATGATACAAACAATATAAAAATTTTTTCTCAATTGTATACATATAAACAAGATTATTTGTTTCTAAAATGTGCTCGGTAAGTACAAAACAAAAATTTATACTCATTTTTCGATCGTTCAAATTTGAGTTCGGGTCCGTTGACCGCTGCGACGTCGGGCTTCCTTTTGCAATTTCTTTTACGATTTAAATTGCAAAATTGACTATTACTGCTCGAGTATTTATATATTATATATCACGTTTACGAATTTCTAATTACAAAGAGTCAGGAAAAATGAAAATAAGATCTCGGAAAGAAGACAAAAAGAAAAACAGATTAAGAAAAAAATCTGCAAATCAGTATCATCTTTCACAGATACATCTTTCAAGATACGATATTGTCTTTTTAAAAGAAAATTGCATTGAAACATTAACAGGACATGGATATGGTAGAAGCAGAGCAGAGCATCCGAAAAGCTTCTGCATTCTATCCGTATGATTCGGAACAGGAATATCTGTCCCATATGTAATCTTGCATTTTTCACAAAGATAAATTTGAATCAACATATAAATGAATATCATGCCGGGACGTCTTTCACATGCGATTACTGCAACGAAATCTGCGATACTTGGCTAACTCGCAAAGAGCTCGAATGCGAAGAGAAGAATAAAATTACAAAGAATAATTAATACACGAAAGGGCATTCACACATAAGGTTTTATTCTTTGTTGAAAACTATTAACGCCGTTAAAAATAATTTTTTATTAAGCAACCTTATAAAAAGTATGATATTCTAAATAAGAGCATATATATTATACAAATGTTAAGTCATCTTTCAATGACTTAGCAGATTAAATGGATAATGTGATTCTTTAAATAAGACACAAATTTTTATACTTTGGACTACTACTAGATTATGACAATTAATATATCAAATTTTAAAAATAGGTAGGTATATTATATAAATATGTATATAAATATAAAAGTTTTTAAATAAGAATTGACTGCAGAGAATAAAAATCAGAGATTAATTTTTCTAAAAAACTAATTAAATATTTTTTACAATATTTTTATCTCCTAATTAAATATTAAAAATGTGCCTAATTTTGATAATCTTTAACCAACTAAGGTACTTATATATTTGCGTATAGCTTAAACAAATAAACTGTCTTGATACGTCGATATTTGCACATTTCTGCAATCATACATCACTCACTAATAATAAGAAAGTAATTACAAATTTGCTAAGGTTTATCCAGTAATAGCATTTGAAGAAGCAATACAAAGTTTAGATACATATAAACAGAACTTGTTTATTGTTAAATGTTTGAATATGTTTTGAGATTCAGACAAAAAAACCATATACATTCGTCGGTCAAATTTAATACCACAGAATTCCTCGAATCCTCATACTAAGTACGTGCTGCGATATTGTTCTTATCGACTTTCTGTATCTACAACCTGAGATTTTACATATCAATTCGTATACGAAGATTTCGAAAGAATAGAAATAACCTGTTGTAAAAAAAGTGCGAGAAACAAAAGACTGAAAATTGTAAAACTACTTGTTAACAACGGTTTTTCCAAAAGGAATTTGCATTGAATCATCGCCATCATCATGGGTGCCATCTTATCAACGAATAGAGAAAGCCAAGATCGCAGGAGTCTGTGTGTTCCATGCCGGAGTGTCTGCTACAAATGTAACGTTCCCTTTGAAACAAAAATGAGTTTAAAACAACACATGGAAGAAGTCCATGCCGAAACATCTTACACGTGTGATTATTGCAATTCAATCAGCAGTACTTGGTTTACGTTTGAACAACATATTTATGGATCTCACAACAACATGATATTTTGTACTTATTGCTATAAAGCGTATAGCGATTATTCGAATTTCCGTCTGCATTGGAGAACGCATGGTAAGAACAAATAACTTTGTCCGTGCAAATCATTCTTATGGATCGAATATCTGTATCGTATAAAGAATTTGCAATTTTTGTATAACCGTTTGCAGAACCGTTTGAGTGCGAGAGATGTAAAGATACGTTTGTTACTGTAAAAAATTTGTTAGAACACTGTGTGGCAACACATCGGAAGATATCATATCTACAAATGTTTTTTCAACTTTTTAGAAGATAAGGACAAATTAGAAGATGCACGACAAAAACGTTTTCATTAATTTTTGCTATATTAATTACGTTTAGAAATTTACGGATATATCGAAAATGTCTTTTTATTCAGGAAGAAAATATTGTAAAATACACTAGAAAAACAGAAATTTACTTCCGTTACATCTACACATGTTAGAAATGTTCTTAAATTTCATTTACTTTTAAGTTAATTTGAATAAATAATAAATAATACTTAATTTCATTATATTAATTCATAACTAAAAAATACATTATTAGAAATATAACCACAAGCTTCTTTTACATGTAAATGAAGCTCGTAGTTATGAACGAAATTAAAAGTAATGAATAATTTAACTAAAAATTAAGTTACAGTAGTTACTTAAATGAAATGAACGTGTACATTACATTCATGAAAAATACATTAAATTTTATGTACACGTACACAAATATACTTTTTAGTTATAAATACATTAAATTTAATGTCATGAAATTAAATTCAAATTAATTAATTCAAAATAATATATTATTTCAAATTAATTTGTGTAACTTAAAAGTTAATAAAATTTAAGAACATTTCTAATATGTGTATGTGTGTACATATACATAAAGTTTAATATATTTTTCATAAATTTAATGTACACGTTTATTACATTTAAGTAACTGTTATAACTTAATTTTCAGTTAAATCATTCATTATTTTTAATTTTATTCATTCAACCACTTCATTTGCATGTAAAGGAAGCTCGTGGTTACATTTCTAACAGTGTAATGGAAGCAAATTTCAAGCAGATACATTAAAAATATTTAATATTTAATATTGTCAATGAAAATGAAATTATAAGTAACTTAAATTTAACGTTTACTTTAAATTTCATGCAAATCTAAATAAAATGTAATAAAAAATGTATTAAACGTCGTAAAATTTTATAAAAAGTATACTAAATTTCATGTACATGAATATATTTTTCAGTTGCAGATACATTAAATTTCATGACATTTTTAAATGTATATTTTTTTATAGATTTGAATTGTCTTGATTCATAATGACGTGGCATAAATTCATAGCCTATATTCACAATAGTTTAAAAAATATAACCTTTATTTTTATTCTCGATTCTATTAGGTCCTAGCATTAGGTTCTAATATGTTAAATTTAAAGGAAAACCCATTTTTATACATACGTAAAAATTTGTAAATAAAAAATTGATCAAAGTGCAAAGATTTGAAATTAATTCCTTTTAAAGATAAATGAATTTTAAATACCTTCCAAAACACATTAACATCTTCTTATCCTTATTAATATTTGTGTCCTATTTCTTTTTATATAGATACTTATAAAAATAATAAGAATTAATCCAGTACGCGAAAGACTCATCGTGTGTAATAAAGGTGCGAAAAATTATCGTGTGTATTAAAGATTAATTTTATGCATAGGTAATAATATTTAATGATACCTGCCTCAATTTATACTTTCGAATTTATCATCGTCCGAATGAACTTCATTGTTTCCCGTAATTTTGTAAATGTTAATTCATTCAAGATTTAACAAAGAACTTTCAATAAAATCGACTGTACATTGTCATTAACACGTGTGAAAAATTTGTATATACAATTTCGAAAATCCGCATAGAAGACGTTATAGTTGGAACAACCTTGCACGCGCACGTAATACATCGAAAACTATTTATAAATGAAACACCGCCATCGTATTATTGCTCGAAATAAGTTACCCAACATGCGACGTCCACACTTCTGATGACGTTTGCGTACACGGTGTCCAGAAAGAAACGTGTTTTAGTGTCACATTTTTCAAATAGATTTATAATCTTGATAAACGATCTTGCCCTAAATGATTTCTTCAATTCGAAGATATTGATAATTATAATCAGCCTTTTTCTTTGATAATCCTGTCCAGATTACCTTTCATTAAAAATTTCTCACCGCAATAAAAAAAAAATTAACATTTTAACTATAAAAATATTTTTACCTAAATGAGATGAATAAATTGGATAAATTTCTAAAATTCTCATTAAGCAAAAGCCAAGTGCGGACTCGATTAGAAAATGAATATCTGTTATATTGTTTTTTTCTGCTTCCTTTCACTTCCTTATTTTCCTCCACACAAAAGAAGGAGTTGAGAACAGCGCGCACGCTCTTCACGCAAGAATAAAATAAACGAGACGTCAAAGAGGCGGACTGTAAAATATATCTGTGGGATCCCACGCAATTTGGCGACGGCGGAGACAGCGGAAAACGGTCAGCTCTATCGTCTTCACGATCAAAACTCGCCGTGAGATTTTCCTACATGGTGACAAAGTGTGGTCCAAGTGGACGTATCGCACGAAATCTGCGAAGATTTATCATTAAATTAATAATCTTGTTATCCAAATAATGTGATTACTATATTGGTGATCGATTTAATTAGCAGAAGTGGATCGTTTTCGCGATTCGCCATATAATTGAAACTTTCGCGCAAATAATATATGGAGAAATATCTTGTATATTACAAGAGATTTTGTTGATTTAATAAACTTAGGATTTAAAATAAAGCTTGCGTAATTGTGATTTATGTTTCGTGCACACATTTGATCTAGAAATGCAGGAATGTGAATTCGTTGGGTTTGTATAAGAAAAATCTAGATCGAGCTTTCATATTTTAAAGCTGTCCAATATGCGGCTATACGAAAAGAATTTAATCTGACAAATACGTACAACACGATAAAGGATGATAGGAAGAATCTGTCAGTAATACTTTTGAACAGATTTCTACAAAGAACACCCCGCGAGGATGCAGCGAGTTCTAAGTCTTCAAATGACTCGCAATATCGGCGAGTCCAGTGAATACGTGACGAAACGGTTGTGTTTCTCGTTTCTCTTCTCGGTTGGTTTCCTATGTCTCCTATGCGGTTTTCTGCTGGGCCGCTTTACCGTTGAGAGTTCGTTGGAGGCCCAGGCACAGAAGATACGAAGTGAATTGGCCGGAAATGGTCTCCAAAACACAGAGTATCTTCAGGAAGTAGTGCTCCAGGAATTGGAAAGAGCGTCACTCGACTACGATCGCACGACGTACATTTGTCTTAATATCTTATCATTTTTAATTATATATGACAATATATTTGAATATATTCTCATTTATATATGACAATATATCAGAATATAATACGATATAGTAGATTAATCTTTATGAAAAATTCCATTAGAAAATTATCGAATTAAATTTTTTACTAATAAATGTTCGTTATTTTGAATTAGAAATAGACAGACATCAGATGAAGATATGCGACGCATAAGTGGGCTCTTTTCCAACTTGTCACTCATTCATAAAGTGTACAACCATGCATCATGCATTCATGCGACTGTCCGCGGTTCACGAGAACCAGGTGAGTCCTTAATGCTTTAGTTATATTTACTTGGATAAAAAATGAAGAGTTTACTATATCGACTCTTAAACAGTTTTAAAATAACCTCTTACTCTATTAATATATTCGCAAATCATTTTGCAATTTTTAATTATGTTTATATGCAGTTCACAAACAGTCATATGAAATAATCTTTAATCTTTTTATTGTATAAACGGATGATTCGGATACTTAAGGATTATTTATCTCCTTTTATTTTGTAAACTAATCTTTCTATTTTTATGAAACTTGGTCTATAATATGGAATAATTTGGTAATATTTTCGCTTTATTTTAAGCTGATCAATACTGCACAAACAGTTAAGTATTGATTTCCAACAAACGGATCTCCAAACTTTAATTATATTATAAATTCTGTAAACTCCTTCATTGCAGATCACTATCTTTTCAACATTTTCAGATTACATTTAAACACAGCATCCAAGAACCTTTTAAAATTAAATTTTACTAAGTTTTAACTAAGATATAATCAGATTATTATTGTTTTTATTTTGAAATAGGAATTTTAGAATTCTAAAGTTAGAATAAAATTCAGCGACTTTGAAAATAAATTCTTTTTTAAGTTTTTCTTTGTTAAAAAGTTTCCGTCCTCAAAGGGTTAATGTGATCATGTTTCGAATAGACCGGTCTCGGAAGTTACTTGACACCCGAGACACTATCGTTTCCTAATCATTTTTTATCATTGCATATATTTACTTAAAGAAAAACAATACCTTTTATCTCTTTTCTCGTCTTCTATCGCATAGGACTTCCGTTTATTCTACTGAATTGTTTCAGATAGATATGTTATCTTATCCGTTAATGAAGACGGTATAACATTAGCTCTGGAATTGGCGCAAGTTCTAGACAAGATATGTACAGGGCACAATTGGCGACCACGACGAAGTTTGATCTTTTGTATGTCTTTTACATCCTCAGACATTTGCCCACAGACTCTGCCTACATTTATATGGCGAAGAGCTGTGGCTTACGTGACGGTGCACGGTCGTTTTGGGCGAGGTTTGCTCGAATTTTTATTACTTCCGTGTTATGAACATTATATAAGAAACACAGATATAAAGAATTATCTGATTTCAGCTAACAATCACACGGTTTTATTCGGATCAGATATCATGCGATCCATAGCTGTCGAAGCTATAAGGACAATATCCGGCGATAATAACTGGACATATCTCGAACACGAAATATTCGGTCCCCGCCTTTCTCTAGATATTCCGCAAGTGATATTTTCGTTCGTAAGTAGCCTCATTTCATACAAAGCTCTTTCAAAATTCCATCAATATAAATTGCATTTATTTTTAATTTAATAACATATATATTGCTATTTTCTAAATTAAGATTTAAACAATTTTATTATTAAAAGCTACTTAAGACTTGTAAATATTTTATGAAATGTCTATTTGGTTAATAATATTAATCGGAAAAAATTTCTGTGCTTTCATCTCTTTTTTTTTATGCAGAATGATAACAGCCCTGCGTACAACCATCACAATCAAAATTCCCGACTACACGACGTAATTCTGGCTCAGATGGTTGGCCAAACTATATGGCGACTGTCCGAATGTACAGTTATTCAATGGGAACCTAAGTATTTTAACAAAACTGTTAATGAAATATTGGAATCTATTAACACTAGCAAATTTCAAGACGCAAAGGGTATTTGTTATTTCTTTTGATTTCATTAATTTCTAACAGGAATGATAAAAAGCTTGAATTAATCGTTACTTTTTTATATTACATCTTCAGAGAAACTGAAAAAAACGTTAAGGATATTGCTCATAGCCGTGGAAGAGCTTAATGCAGAAATCGACACAACAGATGATGTCCAGTAAGTGTAGTAAGCTCAGAATTAATTAATGATCACTTAATTAACAAACTTAATAGTGTCTGCATGAAACCAATAACGCGGATATCACAGAAATTACTAAAATTAAAATTATTGAGAAAATTGCATATAACTCATATAACTTGTCAAGATTATATGATTATATTTTAATACGGCGAAATATTTTAGGATGCTGCATATGAGAATATGGAATGATTTGCTTCTGGACCTGGATAAGGCGCTTCTGTGTCCTGATAAAATCGATTCGCATTCCAGAACCGATTTAGCGACATTTCGGAAATTGTCGCACGATTCCATTAGCGAATCTACCTTATTAGCTTATCTCGACCAGATGACGAAATGTTATGAGGACGCTATAGAAATTCTACAAGAAAGATAGGACAAAAAAGAGAAACTTCTCTCTCAAAAGGATATAAGAAAGACTTCAGAAAATATATAGATTGTTACAAGACATCTGCTTCTTGTTATGACAATATACATTTTTCATGAATTGCTCAGTCTCAATTGTTTCTTACACAAAGCAACATAAATGACAAAACGAGAATTAGTGAGTATATAGAATCTATATCTCATTTTTATATTATAAATAGTACATGAAAATCGTTTTGGCATTTTCTTTGCTTTACCTTATTTCATGTTTATTGCCTAGCTAAGGACAATTACAATTTTACAGTTGAATGTAAATAAAATATATATTTCTATCTCTCTGTAAAAATTTACAAAAGTAACACATATCATAATAGTTATTTATATATTTTTACACGTATACCTAACATTTGCTTTCGCTATCACATTTTATACTTTTTTGGAACTACTATAAAACTTTGTAGAATTTATATATATTCGTAATTTATACTCTATATGTATAAAACATTGGATTCTCTTCAAATTAAATATTAAATTAAGTATTAGTTATTATTAGTAATTAATTAAGAATTAGCTTTTAAATATAATAATGTAGAAGAGTTAAATGTAATTCATATACATTTATGCTCATGTAACATTACTTTAGCTTTAAATCGTAAAGCTATTTATCTGACAATGAAAATGTTACATACTCATTTTCACATTAAATAATCATAACATAAAATAGATCGGAATGCGAATAACATCATATCTGTATTCAGACTTTCCTGATTTATGTCAATTTCATCATATCCCTCCTATACCATATCTTATTTCTTTTTCGAACTGTGATGCATCGAGAGTACCCTCTATCGCCTCACAATTCGGATTGAAGACAGAATAAGCGCTGGGTTCACCGCGTCGCTTCGGCCCAGATCTGGTGTTCAAGCAGATAAAGATCAGAGCCGACAGTACGAAGTAGACAGCACCAAACTCGTACTCCAATGCAATCATATATAATGTGGCCCATAACAGAAAGTATAATAAATAGATTACTCGTTTTAACATTGTACTTTGCGATTCCTGCGTGTTGTCCTCCTCCTGTACGTCGACCTCCTGGACATCCTCTTCGACATCCACTGACTGTTTGCACAGTTTAACCTAAAAACAAAGGAAGAAATTTATATTCTTTCCTCACAACATCTTTTACAACTTTTCGCAACTTTCTTTATTTTTTCCCCTCACGAATGTCAACCGCAAAATGTAACCTCACCTGCTCTTCCTTCATCGATTCTTCGAATTTCTCAATTCTGACTTCACGATTCCATGAAAATATATTTGTCATTACGCTCTTGATCGATTCCATCATTTCCTGTCGGCGCTTCTTGCGTCTATACGCTTCCAGTCTCTCTTTCACCGTCATCGCGATTATTCTGAATTCATCACGATGATGTTTGACACATCAGGTGTTTGCAATTGTTGTCTGATGCCAATCTGCCATTGATAGCAATAGTGGCATGTGGCAAACGCGTTGAAATCGACTGAATCGATTTCGAGATATCGATAGTCAAGTTCTGGTCGAGAAATCGAAAAATTAAATTTCAATTTCTCTAATCTCTCAGAGTTGACCGAAGTGGCCCTTAACCAATTCAATTTATTCCTCATCTTTTTCCAATTCTAGGATTCGAACTTCGATTAAGAATTAAGCATGAGTTGTGAAACTAAAGGTGCGTTCTAAGCTGCGCAGGAAACGCATATACTGCATTACCAATTGCTTTCCATTTATACATAAGTGAAACTGAGTCTAAAGTGAGCCGAGTATTTCATTTTTTTTTTTGGTAAAAATAAGTTATCATATGATACATAACACAGGTTCATAATCTCACTTTTTAAATGAGTTTACGAAATTCTGATCTCGATCTTGTGTAGATTATAGGCAAAAGCTCAGTTAAATCTCACTTGTTAGAGTGAGGGAAATAGTAAAAGGAATGCGCATTCAACTGAGTTGACATCATGTGACAAGTGAAAATTATCTGAGAATGTGGAAAGCAACTATTGTTAAGCAGCGCTTTGAAATCGATTTGTTTTATCAATATGCATGATTTAGTTATTCGGAATAATTTCTTGGATGATTCTGGTCATTAATGCAAATTATAAAAATATTATATTTTTAATGTATTATTACATTATACAGGGTAAAAAATTTCAAACATAATGGGCCGAATATCTCGGAAAATATGAAAGATACGGAAAAATATTTTAGATAAATATTTTAGATTGTACGGTCTAAAGGGGTACAAATACTAATAAAATATACTGATACAACTAATAAAAATACAAATACTGATAAACCGACGGATTGGTCGAGAAGGTCCAATAGATTACCTGATCTAACCTAATCTAACCCTAGATTTTTTCTTTTAAGGCAAAATTCGAGAAATTGTTTTTGTCCTTCAACTACTAGAGAAAATATGATGCTAAAAATATACGAAGTGTGTTAAATAATTTCAAAAGACGAATTACAAAGTGTGCATAATAATTTTCAACGAAAATTGCAAGCTTGCATAAATGCAAATGGATAACATTTCAAGCACTTACATTATTAAAATTTTCCTTTTTCAAAAGAAAAATTTGTTTGAATTTATTTCATTATGTAAAAATTATTTATTTAAAAAAATCATTAAAAAAATATTATAAGGGAAATATCAATGAAGGAAAAAGAAAAGAAGCTAATACTTTTAAAACATTTAACAAATCGAATAATATTTAATAAAATTTAAGGACTTCTATATTTAAAAGATTAATCAAATTAAAATAAATTGACATATGCTTTTTTATACACACAATATTTCAATAATTTATAGATAATTTGATCATTTCTTTGCACATATTTCATCTTATTTTATAATAATAAAAATCCATATTGTTTAATCTAATGAAATACTGAATATACAGAAAGAACAAACAAATAAATGCAATTTCTTTTTTCCACTTAATATAATAAATTCTATTACAAGCAGAAAGAAAAATAACATGGGATGTATTCATTATCTTACAATTAACAGAAATGTTACGTCGTTGTTTATCTCGTCTAGTTGTTTGTCATCGTCATGTTATTGGAAGATAAATATTTCACATATCGTAGAATAGCTAAAAATTTCGCTCTTTGTAATTCTCCTAAGCGCTTAGGATTGGCACGTTATATGTATAAGACTGAATTACTGTCGAATAAGCTGGCTGCTAACAGATGATAACAAGTGACGTAAGTTTCCTTCTTTTATTCATCTATTGTTATTCTATTTAACCATGAACAAGAACCGAAAAAAAAAATACAAAGATGAACATAAAACTGGCTCTTACTTATTAAGATCAATTTCATTAAGATCAATCAAAATTAGAACTTTTAATTAATAATTAATTGATTAATAGTTGAGGACTATAGACATTTTTTTTAAATCAAACACAATCAAAGACAACACAATTTGCAGACAATAAAAATTGAAGATAATAATTTATAAAAAATAATATAAATCTTTCAAAAATTTAAGAAATGAAAAATATTCATTCTATTACCTGTTTCTATCAACATTTAGTTTTTTTTAGTTCAACTTACTCTTGATTTCTTCTAGTTCTTAGAAATCTACTTAGATTAACTTTAATCTTTGTTTAATTTACTCTCCACTTTTTTTCTAAAAAGAAAATAGAAAAAATAAAGAGTAAGTTGAACTAAGATTGAAGTTAATTTGTATTGGTAGAAACAGGCATAACTACAGTTGTATACCAATTCCTGACGTCAGTGCAAGCAAGATCATGCGACACCAGTCGGTCTTGCAATCAGTCTCATAGAAGTCATCGGGACGGCTGCACGTGCGTTATGTCACGATCGTCTAGCGGGTCAGAAAACGTTTGTGATAACGATAATAATGGTAGAAACATAAAAAGTATTAGAAGAAACGTCAACGGCAGAATGGCCAACGGTAACGAGCAGGAAGGTCACGTTCTGGTGCTTTATACGGGTGGTACGATAGGAATGATGAGAAATGAACAAGGAGGTGATTACTTCATAAAATTTAAGAAATTACCTTGTAGTTTTCAAAGGACGTGAAATTTTGCACCGTAAAATCTTCACCATAAATTTCAGACACAGCTAAGCTTTACATATGAATGTTCTTCTTTTTCATTTTTTAAATGAAATCCCATCCGATCTCCCGAGGAATCTTCGATTTTGTACATCTTTAATTTTCTCCTTAATTTTTCTCTCGTTTCACACAACTTACGGATTTTTAGTGTCTTTCATCCACAGATCATTGGTAGCATATATTCGTATAACTTAATTTTTAATGATAAATAGATTCCAATGAAGATTTTAGATCCAAAGAATGGTTTACGTAATTTGTCTTGAATTTCTGGTTTTATCTTTGCTACAAAATTTTCGAATATAAATTAAAAGAAAATTATAAACATAATACAATTAAAGCTCCAAATGTGATGACAAATAAATTAGTATAATAAATTTAAAATAATGTCATTGTGACATCATAATTATCTCCATCTTTATCATATTTTGCTGACAATAGTAAAATGACTGTTTTTTGTAGTACTGCTGCCATTAGCTAATGCGTTTGTAAAAAACCTACGGAAATATCCACAATTGCATGATCGAGAGTATGCCGAGAAAAGATTCGGGGCGATGGGACCGCTAGTTTTGCCGTAAGTATTTAATGTTTAATTTATTATTTGCAGATATTATAATTGCGAATTCTCATACAGAAATAATGAGTCAATAATTTCTATAAACGTTTTATCGACTAAATTTTCGTTGAAATTTTAACTTTAAACTTCCACTCGTAAGAAAGAAATCGGATATTAAATAAATCATTTGAATTGTTTCTAAAAATATAATTCCTTAATAAAATTGGTATTTATAGTTAATATACTTATATTTAAGATTGTCTTGGAATAAGAATAAGTTATAAATACCGGCTTAAGACCTTTTCATTATTTTTAAGTTGAATATAATAATTTTCATGACAAGATTTATCACTCGATTTATTGTAAAAGATAAGTAATTAAGCAGCATTGGTTTTGAAAATTGGAAATTCGAAGTTCTTTCAGTTTTTTTCATTCCGATTATTTTTTGTTAGGGGAACATGAACCGTAAAAATTCCACCTAATTTGCGGAAGAACGTGAACCGGTTCCCCGCGTACCATTTCGCTTTCTCTTGCGCAATGTTAAAAGTGTTTTCCTCTTAATCTTGCAGCGTGACTGCAACTGACAATCGTCGAGTTGTTTACAACGTATTCGAGTACTCGAATCTCTGTGATTCCAGTAATATGACTATGGATGGCTGGATTCGTATTGCTAACGATATTAAGGTATGTTAATTCAGACATAAAGATAGATTTATTTTTTAAAGATCAATTTATTTTTTAAAACAATAAATTTTTAAATTACGCAATTTTAGACACAAATGAAAATGTATAAACAATATATTATGTATCAAGTGACGCTCAATATTTTTAAACAATTCCAGTTAATCTAATCTTACTCGAGTTAAAATCTAATCCTCAAGTTACAAGAAAAGCATGATTAAACTTGCAAAGCTCTCTCTATACGTGTTTAAAAAAGATGAAGCATACTCGACAATAAATTAAATTATGGTAAGACAATTCTCAAAGTTTTTCTTTTGTAGGAATCTTACGAGCGCTTCGACGGATTCGTAATCCTTCACGGCACCGACACCCTCAGTTACACTGCGTCCGCTCTTTCTTTCATGCTCGAGGCTCTAGGCAAGACTGTCATCCTAACCGGTTCACAAGTACCGATTTTTGACACGAGGAGCGACGGTCTGGACAACTTCCTCGCATCTCTCGTAATCGCGGCGAATTACAATATACCTGAAGTATGCGTGTTCTTTGGTACAAACTTGTTGCGCGGCAATCGGACGAGCAAGGCGTCTGCGACATCATTCGAAGCATTCCAGTCACCGAATTTTTCACCTCTCGCCATGGCAAACGTCAAGATTGAAGGTTGCTACAGATTCAAGACAACAGTATAATTTTCTTGAGATTTTTCTAAAGTTTTAGTGAACAATACGAGAAATTA